ACTCCAACACTTATTTAAAATGACAACACCTCCTCACCCCTATACTCCCAAATCTCTTTGTCTGATTTATTTTTAAGTTTCTTCACAAGCATACATCACCATCTTGTATAGTCTACATTTTGCTGGTTTCTTTGTTTATTGTCAGCCTCCCCTTGCCCAGGATGTAAGTTCCATGAGGGTTAGGAATTTTATGTTTTGTTTACTAATTTATCCCCAGTACCCAGAAAAGTGCCTGATACATAGTAGATGCTCAATAAATATTAACTGAATAAATGAATGACTCTTTCTCCCTTTAAAATTCATAGGCCAGAGCATGCTCTGTACTATATAATTTATCACTTAATTATAGTTAACTTAGGAATCTGAATCTTTGTCTCTTTTACTATGTTCTCCAATCAAATATAAATAATTTTTGGTATCCTTCTGTATTTCCTCTTTTTCATCCTCACATTCTTTCATTAAACATTCATTAAATGTATGTTGAGCATGTATCGTATGCCATTATATGCAGGTTCTATTCTTTTATTAAAAACTTCAAGAACAAACAGTTACACACAAATACACATAAAGGCAAGAAACAAGACTGGAAGAAAGACTAGTAATGTTGGAAATCCAATACGTAGTATGTAGGGACAGACTGTATGGGGAAATGTGACAGACTGAATGGGTAGGAGAAGGAAAAAAGGGACAGAATAGTGAGAGACTAGAGTTAAATGTTGGCAAAGTAATCACCAGATGCTAATGTTTAATATAAACTGTACCAAAGCAGATACGCAAATATGTTTTACACAAATTTTTTAAACTTTTATTTCAAAAATTATCTGCCAGCGTCCTATGGATAAAGATTAGATTAAGACTAGCGACATCTGGTGGACAGTTTGGAAGTAACCCTTTCTATGAAAACACTATAAATGCCTTCATGCTCCTGTACTGCCAATAATAATGTGTTGTGTTGTTGTTAGTTGCGGTCAAGTTGATTCAGACTCATGGTGACCCCATGTGTGCAGAGTAGGCTGTGACCTTTTTGGAAGCAGATCACCAGGCATGTCTTCCCAGGTGCCTCTGGGGGGGTTCCCACTGACAACTACTTGTTGATGTTATGTGCCGTTGAGTCGGACTCGACTCATAGCGACCCCTCCTTGGGTTGCCAAGGCAGTATCACTACGGAAGTAGATTGCCCAACCTTCCTTCCAAAGACTGCCTGGTGGATTTGAACTGCCAGCCTTCTGGTTAGCAGTCAAGTGCCTTAGGCATTATGCTACCAGAGCTCCATTTGCAATAGAGCTCCACAATACTAATGACCATAGCATGAAATCATCTTTCTGCAGGGCCCAAGTTCTTATTGCAACAGATAGCCAGATTTCTGACTCGCATCCAGCTGCCTTCTGAAGGATATATACAAAACCACACAATTCTTCCCTTTAATGGGAGCTCTGGTAGCATAGTGGCTAAGACACTTGCCTGCTAACCAGACGGCTGGCGGTTCAAACCCACCAGCCACTCCTCGGAAGGAAG